ATCAGTTAATTAGTTTATACGTGAATCACAAATATTCATATGTGAATCGGTTAATAAAAAACCATATGTGAATCAGTTAAAATAGTTTATATGTGAAATATACGTGTTTACATATGAACATTTTCACATATGAATCCGTTTGCCCATATTTTTAAAAGTTACGAAACTACTCTCTCAATTTTTTGCGTAGCCATAATTTTTGACCAGTTAAAGCTATAATTATTGATCAGTCAAATCCAATCTTAACCGTATGAAAGAGTATGATCACTTCTTTACTTCTAAAATATTTACCATTGGTTTCAAAAAAATTCTCTCAACCTCATTTGCAACTAATTTGATAACCGCCTAAAAATTTCCAAATACACAAAATCAAGGGTCAAGATTGGTTTATACAGTGTCATATATATATATATATATATATATATATGAACCTAATCAAATGAGAACTTTTTTGTTTGTGGTAACCATGAGATTCAATCTCAACCACAAATCAAAGGTTAAATTAGAAAATTAATAATTTTAGTAATTTTAAATTAAAGTATTAATTAAGAGCATTTTAGGGATTTTATAAATATTTTCTCTCATCTTCTCTTTCCTCTCTTCGGCGAAGCTTATTTGGCGAACCTTATTCCGATGAACCTTATGTAAACACAAGATACACACTGTGATACCTACAAATGATATTCACTGCGATACCCAGATATGCATACAAGATGCACAATGTGATACTCTTTGTAAAACAATGAAAATAACGAAAATGCACACTATGATACGTTTCATAAAACAAATAAAATACACTGTGAACGTTATCACTATGATACACTTTGATTCAAAAACGTCTTTTAAAATACGATATATATTAGATAATTGATATATTAGATAACTAATTTTAATTATATATTTTTTTCTAAAAAAAATAATTAAATATTATGATTAGTTGTCAAAAATAGAATTAATATATTACCCTTTTTAGATTATTTAAAAAAATATCCTTAAATATCTTAAACGAGTGGTTCACATTGGATCTCACGGTTATCACAAATTAATCAAATCTTCTTTAAATGGGCCATATATATATATATATATATATATATATATATATATATATAGGGCCTAATCAAATGAGAATTAATTAGTTTGTGGTAACTGTGAGAACCAATATTAACCACAAATCAATAGATAAATTAGGAAATTTATAATTTTGGCAATTTTGAATTAAAATATTAATGCAAAGATATTTTTGGTATTTTAAAACTTTCCTCCCTCCTCTCTTCTCTCTCCGACCACCGTCCTCCGGTGATACTACAATGGTATTACAATGCATCATATATGTGCTTGGATATCACATTGATGTCGTTTGTGTGGTCGATCGAAGATGTAACACAGTGGTATCACTATGCATCTTATATATGATTAGGTATCACAATGTATCTTTTGTTTAACAGAGTCAATATTTTTAGGTATCACAATGTATCTTTTGTTTAACAGAGTCAATATTTTTAGGTATCATAGTGGTATCATAGTGGTATCACCGGAGGACGGTGGCCGGAGGCCGGAGAACAGTGGCCGGAGAGAGAAGAGAGGAGAGAGGAGAGAGGAGAGTTTTAAAATACCAAAAATATCCTTGCATTAAGATTTTAATTTAAAATTACCAAATTTATAAATTTCCTAATTTATCTATTGATTTGTGGTTAATANACTCAGTTCTCCCTTGAATAGATATATATATATATATATATATATATATATATATATATATGTGTGTGTGTGTGTATAAAAGTATAAAAATGGGGTATAATTGATAAATTGGGATGCCGGCATGAGAAAAGTATTGTGTATGGTAGCAAATTAAACAACACAATTTCGGGGCATGTTTTATGGATTATTTTGAATGTTTATGGACTTTGTTCCCTCCTTAATTTAATATACATTTTATTCGTCTTAATGTTTTTTAGATACGTAATAAACCATCAAAAGTGTTGTTTTTTAAATATATTTACATATAGTCCAACTTCTGTTTTTCAAAATTGACGACATATAATTCAAACAATTTTTGTGTTTTTGTTAGGTTTTAATTTAAAAACTTGATTTCGGTCGAAAGATCAGAAAAAACAATATCAATAACTATAAGAAAATCACAGATAACCTAATGCATACATCCAACATAGAGATGCATACAAACCCAGTTAATTGATTTTGGATATCCAACATAGAGATAATAAAAATCCGGTTAATTGATTTTGGATCTGTAAGGACAAATGATCGATCGTAAAAAGACTAGTTAAAAAGGTGCGACTCAAAGACTGGTTATAGAAGAAAGTCTGTTTTGGTTTTAAATTCTAAACCTAGGATCGGACCTTCGCCGATTAAAAAAGAAGGATAAAGACCAAAAACCGATCATTTGTCAACAAAAAACTGGTCCAGTTAAGGTCCTGCTAAAGCCTTAAAAAATCCAGTCATGACCTATTGCCTTCATCTCAACTATTTTTATGACCAAAAGATCAAAAGAATAATTTATGGTCCCCTATAGTAAAATTAATGCAATAAACATAGTTTGCAAACTTTGTAAGTGGTTATTCATCTTAGTTTTAAGTGATTCGGAGAATGTAAGGGGTAAAAATGAGTTGTTAAAATTATCCCCTTGAAAATTCCCAGAAAAATCAACTTGTTACTACCAAGATTGGTCAAAAATATTTGAATGAGTGTTACTCCAATCTTGGCAGGGAGGTGATTGAGATGTGAAACTACCGTGATTTTGACTATTTAAAAACAAATTAGAATGTTCCTCCCATGATTAAGTGTAAACGTTGAAGTATGAGTTATCCCAATTACTATCTCCCATGAAATAACGAGACTCGGGGTTTGTAGGACAACTGTACGAAAAATTATCTCTGCCACAAAAGTCACAGAACACATATTCATACGGGCCAAACTATTGCCCCATTGAATCCATACTCATAGAAAGATCAACACATGGAGACGCATGATAAGCAACAAAGATGGTAGAAAAATTAGTTTAACAAGATTCAATCTCTAAACAACTATAGATTTACGTCTATTCTCGACAATGGTGCCAAAAACTTGATGGGAGCTAGATATTGTATCTCTACAACACTAAGTGGTAACACATGCAAGTATACACGTATCAACACTATCGCCTTAAAGTTATAAAATGGTAAGTACCAAGTATCGTATTCCACAGGGATAAGTATCTTAAGTTGCAACATCTCGTTTTGAAAGATTAAACTCAAATGGCAAATTTGAAAAAAAAATTTGGAGCTAAAACTACAGAAAATGACAGAAAATAAAGAAAGCAAGGGTGTAAGACTTTTGGTGAGACATAAACACAAGTTATAGCAGACCAATGCTGTCAAAATGTTATACCATGTAATTAGTAACAACTATTTTCATAATTTATTTTGAGGGTATTCCTCTCAACTTCAACATTGCACTGATATTATAGCTTTCAATCCATATCTTTATGTGGTATCCAGACCAGTGAAACTAACAAATGGTGTATTGAAAATATACAAATAAACAAATTTCTTTGCTAAAAATCATTCTTTCGAACAGATTCTCATATCATTCAAGTTGATGTGTTGTGGATGGCTCATCTCTGAGTCCATTCCACTTTAACACTTCAAAATGATCAATCTGTTGGGAATTAACCAATTTAGAAAATATAAATAACAAATCTCTTTCTCAGCTTAGAGTACATAACACTTTAACATTTTACAGTGATCAACTCGTCAAGAAGCGTCATTGGTTTTATAAAACTTGAAATAAAATAATGAAACATTGTTGTTACATAAAACGATCTAATTTATTTCGGTTTACTATCTCACATTTCCGTCTCACATCCAAGCTAATAAATTTAGCTACTCATGACGAAATGAAAAAAAATAAAGAAATGTAAAATGCAGTAATTAATTATAGACATCAAAATAAATGAGCAGGTAAATGACGAAAGTTAAAGAGCGGAAAGCGTAAAAATGTAAAGAACTTAACGTAAAGAAGCAATGAAGAATGAAAAACAAGATTCAAGAAAATACGAGAATTTATATATTAAACGAGAGCATATACTTCAAATACTTTAAGTCGTAAATCACAATTAGATTAGATCTAATTTGATTTCTGCACCCCAAAAACACAAACCCCACACCTCTTATTTATACGAAGCTAGAGGGGGGCAAAGTAAAACTTCTAAAGTCCCTAAGTTTAAAATACAACAAAAAGTCAACATTAAAGTACAAAAAACTAAGTAAGTAGATTAAACTAAAATTAGAAGTCCATAAGGTTGAATTAGCCTTCAATTGGTATAAAAATAGGTAATCCCTACTTTAGCTTCATAAAATAAAAAAGAGGCAAATAATATAATAAAAGACTCAAAGTTAGGATATTAAAGGAAAATAAGATAACTACAAAGCAAGAAATGAGTTTTATAACATTGAAACGAAGAATAAGGGGTCGTTTACAAAACACTTACCCGATAAGCACTTACCGGTAAAATTTAATATTATTATTTACTTACCGGGTAAGATTTTAGTTAACAAAAACGGCGTTTTCAATGCAACAATTTACCCGGTAAGAGCTGACCGTGGTAAGAGTCATTGCCCTCACTTACCGGGTAAGACTCTCAGTCCTTGCCTCGTTTTTACCGGGTAAGATTTTTGGTACTTATCAAATTCATACGGTAAGGTAATAATAACTTGGTAAGCGCTTACCCAAATAAGCATTTTGTAAACCGCAAATAAATTTCATGCATCAAATTTCATCACTGTATATATTGGATATGGAATTGCAACATAGTCTATTTCTATCAAGAGAAAGAGCATATTTATAACAATAATCAACCAATAGAAAATGTTATATTTAAATAAATAAAATATAAAAAAATTAAGTTGTGTCTTGAATTCTTCAAACTCTTTCCAATATGGAGTATATATTAATGAATGATCGACGTGATCGTTACAATGCGTTCCATTTAATTCATGCGACTTCAACAATACCTTTACGTACTCTCTCTCTCTCTCTCCAATTACGACGACTTCTTGACTCCCCGTCAAATGCGCCACACTCGTCTCCGATCTGAATGATGGCGGCCGTCACAACCACCACCGTAACGGAGCCACTACTCAAACGGAATACCAGAGTTTGTTTCTCCTTCGCCGCATACTCCAAAGACCTCATCGATCATCTCCACCACCATTCCAACGTCCCAATCACCCAAGGCCTAACCCTAACAGAATTCTCCGCCATTGAATCCGCCTTCCGTTTCTCATTCCCGCCTGACCTCCGATCACTTCTCCGAGAAGGCCTTCCAGTTGGCCACGGCTTTCCCAATTGGCGATCGTCTTCCCACCAGCAACTCGATATTTTGATGAACCTTCCACTCTTGGGACTATGTAAGGAAGTATACCGCCAAAAATTCTGGCACCGCCGGTGGGGTGATAGGCCGGAGGAAGATGATGAAGCTGTTGAAGTGGCTAAAGGGTTCTTGAAAAACTCACCGCTTCTTGTTCCGGTTTACCGGAATTATTACATACCCTCGATCCCGTGTTTGGCGGGGAACCCTATATTTTACGTGAATGGTTTGGATGTTAAGTTGTGGAGCAACGACGTCGTTGGGTTCTTTCAGCATACTGAATTTAAAGATGGGGAGCTGAGGGAGATGAGACCGGCTAATCTTTTAAGTGCACCGGTGTGGGCGGCTACGGAGGCAAGAAAAATAGAGTTTTGGACGGAATTGATGGAACTCTGCCGTGATACGGCGCTGCACGGAGGAGAAATGAAAAGGAGGTGGTGGCGCCGGAATGAATTGGGACGTTTTTTGGAGGATGTGCGGTTAAGGTTGAGAGACGGAGGGTGGAAGGAGGAGGATGTAGATGAGATGATGATGGAAATGGACGGTGAAGATGAGAAATCGTCATCATCGTCTGATAATGGTTCCAGCGATATAAATAAAGTCACGGAGGTGAGAAATGAGAGGGAGGGTGTGGGGCGGCACGTGGGGGTAATGTCCGAGAGGTTATTACGTGGGGGGTGGAGCAGGGGAGATGTGGTGGAGTCGCTTGGTTGTTTGACTGAAGATGGTCAAAGTAAGGAAGATCGGACGGATGAGATTGAAATTGGGAGTGATGGTGGGGATTCATTTTTTGACTTGAAGCACATAACATGCAGCTGCGTTGACGATGATGAAAATAATAATTCTTGTGAGGTGTAGGTGTATATACTTGTAATAGTTGTATCAATCGTAGTTCCATTTACCAACATTCAAGTACTCAAAATTCTAGTTAGATTTCTATTAAATAGAATAATCAAGCACAAAATATTTTTGTCTGGTTTTTATTTTACTTATATTTTTTACTGTTTAAAAAATAAACAAACAATACTTATAATCAAGAAGGCTGCGTTTCTTCAATCGAAGAAAAAAAAACCCAGATACATTGACTTTGTAAAACAAAGAACTATGAAGCTCTGCTTGGCCATGGGAATTGCACATTGACTTTGTGATCGTCGTCGTGTTTTGTTGTTGTTGTTGGTTTATGGTTAAAGTATTCGCTTTTTGACCCGACCTTGTTTTAAATGATCACCAAGTTTCCATTGTCTTAGGAGTTTGTCTAGTAATAGTTTGATTTCAAATGAAAAAAAGGATTAAAATGTAGTAAGTATTGAATCCGATTGTATGGAAAGAGGAGAATGTATAAACATCGACCACATTGTCTATCCGAACAAAGACATGGGATCCATATTCTATTAAGATAAAGAGATATGAAACATACAAAAATAGAGAAGCGGGAGACTAAGGGACTGTATACTTAGAGCTTAATGGGCTTAACAGTCTATCTGACTTATTCGCATAGATAGGTATGATGTTATCCATATTCAGCCAAAAACATACACCCCTACCCCTTATTTTTAATAAACACGCCTCCAATAAACATGATTCATTCCCTACAAACGCGCCTCCTCTTCTAGACTTGTTCAAAACCCTAGCCGATGTGTATCACGAGACACCCCCACACCATCGTCATAATCGGTGACTATCTTTCCGGTGACCGTCACGCCGGAACCTACAACAATCTCCTTCCTTGTTAGCGCCTCCCTCTTTTCCCCGTCGACCTTGCGTCTCCTTTCCGATGGGTGACGATTTCTTTTCCTTTGATTTTTGATTAGGGCATCAACATGTAATATGTTTTGATTTCTCTTCTCTGAGATTTTTTGTTCATCTCTTCTCTTTTTCTTTTTTCAATTTATCTCCGGCATGGTATCTACTGTAATATGTTTTGCTTTCTCTTCTTTTTGATTTTTTGTTCACCTCTTCTATTTTTATCGATTTCTCTCCATTGGGGCATCTATTGTAATATGTTTCAATTTCTCCTCTTCGATTTTTCGTTCACCTCTTATCTTTTTTTTTTTTTTTTGATTTCTCTTCCATTGGTGATCTACTGTAATATGGTTTGAATCCTTTCTACAACAATCATTGCTCCTCTCTAGCTCTCCTACTTCAGAGCATGAAATGCAATTTTTTAAATTAGTGCTTGTTGGATGTGAGAACCATTTCAGATTGGGTAGTATATGCATCAAATTAGGTTGTATTAAATGATTCTTGTATTGTCTCAAACAATCATTGATGATAAACCGGTTGCATAAATTAGGGGTGTACAAAATTCCGTCAATCCGTAAAACCCGCCCAACCCAACCCGCTAACAACTCAATTAAACCAAACCCGTCAAACCGTTAATTAAGAGAGTTGAAATTGGGCTAGTGTAATTCAACTCAACCCAAACCGCCAACCTGCCGCTAATGTATATAATTTCGATATATATATATATATATATTGTTTACAACCCACAAAATATATACATATATTAGTCCAATTTACACCCCAAACCCAAAATTAATCAACTAGGCCAAGTCCAAAAATTAATCCAACTAGGTCCGATGCTCTATGAGTTATTAGTAGTCGGTCGATACGCCTCAATTCCATTTCTTCCATTATTATTTTAACATGAGTGCACTGAAAAAAGTAGATAGAGTGTTGTTGTATGATGTCAATGATCGATTTGCATTTTAGTATATGATTCTCTCTTGCATAGATGTTTTTGGAATTTCGAACCACAAATGTCTAGAAGTTTTTTTCTTTCTTTATATAAATTTATGTTTTCATTGCATAAATGAACATATGAAGTATGTTTGAAACTAGAAATTGGAACCATAAATTTTTATTTTCATTGTATAAATGCTCTTTGAAGTTTATTTTTTATTGCATAAAGAAATCTCATGTTTCTTGTAGGTTGTAACTTTGTATTTTTTTTTAATCCTATTTTCTATGTATAGGAACAATGGAAAATACTCCCAAGTCACCAAAAATCCAAACAATGACGAACTAAACATGCCTAAGAAAAAGAGAGGTAGAACCCAAAATGTATGGAATCACTTTACAAGAAAAGACTCTAGATGTGTTTGTAATTATCGTGGAAAAGACTATGCTTATCATAGTAAGAAAACTGGTAGAAGTTTTTGTATACTACTAACCCTCCAACCCAACCCAACCCAACCCAACTCGTTGAGTTGGGTTGGTTTATACTTTTAAATGAGTTGGGTTGGGTTGAGATTTTCCAAAACCGTCGTAATTGGGTTGAGTCGTAAAAACGTCAAAAAATGCCCAACCCGACCCACGTACACTCCTAGTATGAATTGATGATAAATTGGTGTTGAACTTATCTTCTGGATGAATGATGATAAATTGGTGTTGAACTTATCTTCTGGATGATGATAGGCACGCACCATGCATTTGCTGAATTGATGTTATATGTAAAGTTCAAGTAAACAAGGTATAATTCATACTAAAAGGTAAAACAACTATTTTTATCATTGAGACAAATGATTCAAGAAAAAAGTAAACAACACCACAAAATTATCCATACATACAAATTTATCAATACAAGACCTAAAAGAAAATTTGGTAAGCAACTTATAACAGAGAAACACTAAGCACGTAAAAATAGTATTTCGAGACTGATTTTAAGTTAAACATATTTTTACAATAATGTAGTCTTGAAACATATTTTAAGCAGATGTGTTCTGAAATTTCCGTTTTAAAATTACCTTTTCGTCTCTTCGAGTCCATAACTAGGGTTGTAGAAAATCCCAATGAGTCGACCTCCTAATCCAATTCAACCCAAAAATAGGCTAATAAACCCAACTCAAGTTAAACTGAGATTCAATCGTGTCCAAAATTTCACTCACCGACATAATTATATAGAATCTTCTTTTTGCGCTAAAATTAGTTCTTTTACAAATTTTGACTCCCCAATTCATAAATTGGTATCCTATGCATTTCAAAAGTAAATGTATATTTTATCGTACATAATATTCCGCATAAATTTATAGCTGTAACATTTTGCTTCATTTATAAAGTTTTCGTATAATAATTGTTTCTAAAAAAATCTTTAACCCAACCCAATTTGTTAAAGATTGAATTGGTTTTAGATATGCACAATCCCCAATTTTTTTCGGGCTTGGTATCAAACCTTACTCATTTTTATTGAACAATAAAATAGTCCCGAGCCTTAAAATTGGGTTTGGTTTTGAGGTTAAGAAGGACTTGATCAAACTTTTCCTGGCTTAATCAAACTTCTTCAGACCGACTTAGGCTTAGGCCTGATGTCTATGTTTCGGCTTAATCGGACTTTAAAATCTAACCTAGAACGGATTTCGATCTTGCTCTTCTTGTGAAACCGTAATTGGATTATACGTTAAAGACATTTTTGAAGGGGTTAACTTTTTTAAGCCAAACTAGTTGGGTTAATCCGTGGGATCCGACAGCAAAAATTGCACCAAGGGGGGACTGTTGTGCACGCTCCTTGCACGTGACTTACTCGTTTGCAGATCCCTGGCTATTGGGCCTTGAGAGGCTTTGGTTCACCATTGTATTAAACAAACTATAATTCTCATCGGAAGCATTCATCTACCTGAGAAAAAAAATAGAGAGAAATGGCGTCGGCGATGGTGAGATCTAGTCTTCGAACGGCTCTCCGAGGTGGCGTGCGTGTGAATCCATCTTCGACAAGGTCATTCTCTTCCGGTGCATCGGTTGAAGAAGAAGCTCGTACGACTCTTCTTTCTCTTCAAAGTTTCAATAACAATTTATACGCTGTTTTTATTTTTTTGTATTCTTCTTTTATCTTTTGAGATTTAGTTTTTATGAGGCTTATTTTTCTTGTTTAACCGTATAATATTCCTATCTGAAGGATTTCTGCTTGTCAGACTAGGGTTTCACTTGTCACAATTATGCATTTTAGGGGTTTGAATTTCGAATAGCTGAATTAAATCTCTGTATGTGTATTCTCTCGATATGGCCTTTAAATTTATCTGAATGGCTATTATCTGATCATAGAAACGACGAAAAATTATGATGTGATGGCTAATGGATTTTTTGTGTATACACAGGTGAGGCGGCGAAATGGGAGAAGATTACTTATGTAGGAATCGTTGCTTGCTCGATTCTTGCATTTGTTAACCTATCAAAGGGTCATCCTCATTTCGATGAACCCCCTGTAAGCCCCAATTCTGGATATAGCTGTTGTTCAGAAATCTTGATATATTTTAGTCTATTTATGGTGGATTATAGGGTGATTGCCTTAGTTAGTGTAACACTTGTTCATTTCATAAGTGGCTTTGGTTGTATCGCTAAGTATTTGTTCATTCCTTTATGACCCTAATTTCATTGCAATAGCACTGCCTTGATTTTTATCTGTAACATGATCCATTGTTTTATCTATGTGTGCAGCCGTATCCATACTTGCACATTCGTAACAAGGAGTTTCCATGGGGTATGCTCTTTTATCCAACTCTAGATAAATGGTTTTGTGGTACACTACATTCTTAATTTCTTTTAAGTTGAATTTTCTTTTAGGAATCCCATTTTAGCAGCAGTCTTGGCCTTATTGACATTTGGAGGACATAGTTGAACCTTAATGACCGGCTTCTTTTTGAGCAATGGTTGAGATTGCCTAGGTGTTGGTGTTTGTTTTCTTTTTACTTGTTTCCTGGTTATTATTTCTATTACTTGTGCACGTATCTTGGTGTTAACTTGTATCATTTGAATCTAATGATATGAATCGACATCACACTGTTTTTGTAACTCTTTGTTTTCCAACTTGCGTAGTTAAACACTTGTATGTATTTAGTCCTCATGTAATTGCTGAAAATCAAAACATGAAGGTTACTGTTTTTATCTTGATTGGCTTGTAAAATCAATTCATTGGTGTATATATATGCTTTTAAGGTGGCATCCTAAGTTGTCAGCATATAATTGAATCTATAGCTCTTAACACTCCCTGGCTTTTGTTTATGAAGAAGGGTTAAGCAAATGAAAGTTGGTTTGATACATGTTCAACTTTTAGCATCTAATAACACTTAGTTACCCTTTCTCCATTGCTTATACTTTATACAATGGCATGTGTAGGAAATGTGAGTTGGTTACTTAACAATGCATTTTGTGCACTCAAATTGCTTATTGACAGATCATAAAAACTGTGATTTTGAGATATATATCTACAGCTTAGAGGTGAGAACTTTGGTTCCACTGCATACATATGTAGGGATGCATATTCCCTCTGGTTAGTGAACTTCTAAAATTCTATTTCGTATAATCTTGCATTGATGGTTGGATTGTGGATGCAATGATATGATGGAAACCTTGAATAAAGGTAGGAGTTAGAATCTCACACGAGTTGCCTTTTATTGTAGAAGACAGTGTTGAGCATAAGAGATATGGGCCTAAGATCTTTTTCTCATGCCAAAATATTCTCTTTCTCATCCCTTGTAGCATGTGACCTTGCGTCTAAGCATAACTATAGATCTCTTTCTCATCCCAAAATATTCTCTTTCTCATCCCTTGTAGCAAGTAACCTTGCGTCTAAGCAGCATAACACAAGCTGCCATGAAATAACTCAAAGACATAAGAAAGTTTTATGGGATGCAGACATGTGCAGCTTTCGTGCATGTTTCTTTATAGTGTCAATCGGATGTCGGTGTGACCTGGTTATTATACTGCACAACAAAGTTACATGTCGTGATTATATTTTTACAATAGAATTTTGCGAGTTTTCCAAGCACAACAAAGTTTTATTTAGTACAGGGTACCAGAGGTTTTCCAAATATTTTCTGAACGTAATTTATCATCCTTCTGTTATACTTTTACCACCGAAGCAATCTTCCCAACTGGGTTACTTATGTTTACGGTTTCTTTTTTCAGGTCCAGATGGGCTATTTGAAGTCAAGGAACACCATTAAGAGCTTGTGGAGGGAATTCGGAATAACGATCTTCATGTTTATGTTTCATTCAGTTATTATTGTTACCATTCAGACTGCATTCGCGTAGAAGTTGGTACTTGTATTTCCTCCTTGCAAGGGATTGCTTCTTTTTCACAGTATTTCTTTTCTGGCAAATAAGGGTTGGTGAATAGGATTGGTTCAACATTGGTACCTTAATTGTTTACTAACAACTTACTTTTTCAATCGTTCCGCTTGTTTTTGTTCGTAAATTAATAACTGTGCCAAAACGAAGTTTTGAGGTTTGAAAGAATGAGCGAATTCAATTCAAGTTAGGTATGGGTAAAACTTTTATGATGAATGACATTTGTTTGTCAAAAATTCCAGATTTCTGCACAATACAATCTTGTAGAAATTATTATACTCGATAAAAATACATAAGATTGGACAAAAGTTGATTTTATTTAACATCACATGAAATTTACGGAAAATAAGAATAAAGGATAGCATCAATAAAAGTAAATAGATTTCAAACAGTATATGATCGTAGTAATACTAGATTAGCAGTGCAAATGCATTAAAATGGTTTTGATTTCACCGTTGGTTCATACTCCATATCGCTAGAATCATTTTGAATTTCTTTCTTCTTTCTATCTTACCGTTGTCTCAAAACTGATATTTTCAAGTTTTTTTAGGTCTGGGTGTCAACACAATTATTTATCTTTACATGAAGACATGTATAAACAATTAAGAATAGAAAAAATCCAATCGAGATCCGAACTTTTCCCCATATTTTAAGTTGTATTCGGTCGGTTGTAAAACAATGGCGTAAAAATTACCAAGAAAGTCGTGAACCTTGACAAACATGAATGGATCCATATTCAATATTTGGTTGCAGCGGTTAGGATTTGAAGCTCCAAATGATACAACCATCCATTATAAAACTGTAACAACCAACACCAAACAATGGAAATGGGAAAGACAGACGTAAAAAACAGTCTACAACATTCCTCCCTGATTCCTAACACTCATTGGCAACGTGTGTACGTGTATTGTATGAAGACAGACAGACTCATCCTTCATTAAGCGCATTCTATCATTTGCCTTCATTCTTCTTGGGTTCAAAGGAAGGCACCAAAGATGAATCTGGACTTGTGTTTTTCTTCACAGATTTTATCCACATTCTCTGTCTTGAAAGATTCCCAATCTTGCGGTTTTTAACAAACTTGGTACTACTTGTTGTAGATGTTTCTTCCTCAGAGGCTTTTGCCCTATTTGAACTCGAATCTTTATCGTCTTCATTACTCTTGCTATGGCTCGGGTTTGAACCCAACTGACTCTCATTCACACTCGGTCCCTTATTGCTACTTCCATTCTCTTCTCTTTTTTCTCCATTTTCCTTCCTACTTCTATTATCATTCACCTCTTCACTTGACAAATTCTCTTCTCTTGCCCTCCCATCATCCTCCTCAGGTGGACTTGCAATTTCAACCACCTCATTTGGGTTTGGTTGCATTTGATTGTCATCTTCCTTCTCTTCTTTCACCTCCGCTTTCCTGCCATTTTCTTCATTTTTGCTCTCTTGTGTACTTTCGTTACTGTTTTCTTGAGTGGGGATGTTCATGTTCCCCTCTCTACTCTTTTTGCTTCCATTTACTTCTTTGGCTGCCTCCTCATTCTTACTGCCATTACCTACATTATGGGTTTGTTTCATACCCTCAGTTTTAATCTTTTCATTGTTAATACCATCTTCTTTCTCTTTTGCCTCTTCATTCTGATGTCCTTCCATATCCACTTTTAACTCTTCGTAACCCGTTTTTGTATTCTTTTCCGTTCCATCATCCGTGCTTGCATTCTCCCCAACTTCATCATGTTTCATGTCTTCACTTTCATGACCTTGGACAAGCTCTTCAGCTTCTTTTTCATTGTCTTCTTCATCTGCTTCATGTTCTATGGTTTCTTTCTTATCTTGAACATTTGTTTCCTTCCCTCTTGGATGAAGACCTTTCCTCCCCAACTTGATCATGTCATTGCTACTATCCTTGTGTAAGTTTTTGGAGATGTTTGTTGTGACGGGTGGTTTCTTGTTGTCAGTATGCTGGACTTGGTAAAGCAGCCATATGCTGGCACCAAACAACGCCGACATCTGGAGAACATGCTTTATCTTTAACCCTTTGTTACGTCCGTTCCTACTACGTGGTGACTGCCTGAACATGATTTAGTCCCAGCTGAACAGAAAACCACCTTTATTGGACTCAAATCCGTGATAATTGTGAATGTATGTATGAACCAATTAAGAACCGTATCAGAATCTGTATTTACAAATAAAATGAATCAGATGGTCAGATGTATCAAAGAAGAAATCATCAATCAGCTAAAATGAAAGTTAATGAACAGATTTTAAGTCTATATTTATGGATCCAAATTTGATTTTTCAGACGGCGATGTTCATAGAAGAGACATTAATCAAACAGGTTGTGGCCTTGATCCAATGCTCCACTTGATTTGTATATTTTGAATCTCTCCTCATCTCCGTTGTGATTTAAGTGGCAATCAATTTGAGCAGTATCAATTCAAACCACAGTGAAATCAAATAAACAAAAACTGGAATGAAAATCGAATCCTCATATCCATCAATCAAAAGCAAAATAAATAGATCAGACCGACTGAAGCACAAAACATAAGGCGATCCAATTGGAATGAAGAAAAAGTGCGAAGTTGAAACGATTGAAATAACAGAAAGTAATGGAGCAAATGAGAAATTACCGGTAGTTGATGGAAAGGAATTGAATTGAAAGAATCCTTGGGATGAATGTGTTTACCAGTACAACATTGACGTAGATCCCCAAATGATGATTGAATCTGCCATCTCATCTAACAATCACACCAATACATGATGACACTATGACGCACACTCTCTTCTCCCTCCCCCCTCGCTAAAATCGGAAGTTCGCTGGTTACAGGTTCTTTCTGTGTGTGTGCGTATATGTATATATTCCGGAGTATTACAACTTTTATCCCTATACTATTAACTGATTTACATATTCTGCCCAGCATAACTATCTTTTGCATTTTTTGGCTCCTAAATCGATATCTTTGTTTTACCCATGTTAACTCCCAACTTTTTGTTATATTTCAATATTTCTCCGATTAGTTTCCAATTCCTATGGAAATTCTAAATAATGAAATTGACTGCGATAAATTCTTCAAATTCATTTTCGTGTATGAAATTAGGTACTTGTAGCCTTGTTGGTTTATTTATTATTCTCCTTTTTTGTCCTCGTCATCTTTCAGAATATTTGTTAATTTTTCGTTAACGTTGCTGAATGAAATTATGTATTACCTTCATTTTTTCTTTAATTCCATTGGTGCCGTCATAGTAGTCCTTCAAGAACACAGAAAAGCTTCATAAATTCCACCAAAATTCATGGCTGACTAATAATCATTTAGGATACTGGTCATGATAGGAAATTACAGTTGACTTTTCTTCCATTGTTGTAAAACATCAAAATCCTCAAATTGCTCCTCATTTTGTACACCTAAAATGACTGTGTACATGTGTAATTCATCTAAATTTGAACTTGCTCGTTTACTTTTATTTGTGGCATCGACTAGATAATTATATAGAAAACGGGAAAAATCACCTCTTCCTCCACTAGACGAAGAACCAACTCGTTCTACGTTAGTGTTTATTCTATTTTTATAAATTCTATTGTAACGTATAACTAATTCCCTAGATGCATCGTTGAACGCCTTTCAAAGTGTTAGGATAATAATTTGGGTTGATGACATTTAAACTAACATGTCAGGAAATTCCCTCTAGAAAATTTGGGCTTGCTTGGCCTTTTTGGTCCTAACTGATCTTAGGGCTTTGTTCTGCCCTGATTGAGCTTTTTGGGTCCGATCGTAGGCCAATCCTTGTTCCCTGGTAATTTTTTGTACGACTCTAATCCAAAGTTATTACTAATAATTTCGTAAACCCATGTAGCTATTTAGTAGTAATACTCCATCCTATGTTTAGATATGGAAAATGTTCGGAGTTTACAATAATATAAACTCTTAAAACGGCTTATATGATTTGATCTGGTTTTTGTATACATCAACCTTAGGACCTTTTTATATTACTAATTCATGATTTAACATGATTTCGACGTAAATTGAATACATATAAACATCACCCTATATTTAAATTAATTAGGCATTGTTTGCTAAAAATAAACTAACTTATTTTTCAATTACACGTTTAAATGGATATAGACTAGCTTATTGAAACACTAATTAAATAACATTTAGAGAGTTTATTATCACTTTTTCTAATGTTTTTATTAACAAAAGATTTAAAATATCATTTTATATTAGTTTCTAAGGTCTATTTCCTAGTTCAAGATCCCTCTTAGTAACTGGAATCAAAGAATTAGTAGGTCTGTTTCGCCCAAAATGGGCTTGGGTTATGAACTTATAATCTATAATATGATGATTGAGTCGATTCTATGATTATAAGTTCATTTCATATCGGATCAGACCGGAATAGGGTTATATACATTCTCATTGTGAGAAGAGGTCATTTGAGCGTATCTAAATAGATACTATGTTTACATATGGATCCCTACGTTGTTACATTCCATATAGGATTAGGAGTAGGCGTAATCGGACATGCTTTTTACATATCACTCGTTATTTGGGACCCTATTAACCTCTTTGGGCTTCTATTCAATCGAGAAATAGGTTTGATTGTCCATCTTTTTGATATATTGGATATCTATATAAGACATTCTCCAGATAATTCAATCGAAGCAACTGGATGTCCAATTCGAGCCTATATGACGTGAACTCCCAACCATTTATACGTTGGAGAGACCGTTTCTTATTTTGTGCCGAAGTTATTTATAAAGCAAAAGCTGAAACACAGTGAAATCAAATGGCATTACTTGAATGTTACTGCGGGTACATACAAAGAAATGATGAAAAGGGCTATATTTGCCAGAGAATTGGGAGTTCCTGTCGTAATGCATGACTACCTAACAGGGGGATTCAGTGCAAATACTAGCTTGGCTCATTATTGCTGAGATAATGGCCTACATCTTCACATCCACCTCGCAATGCATACAATTATTGATAGACAGAAGAATTATGGTATCCACTTTTGTGTACTAGCTAAAGCGTTACATATGTCAAAGATGGATTGGAGATCATATTCATTCTCGTACCATAGTAGGTAAACTTGAAGGGGAAAGAAAGATCATTTTGAGATTTGTTGATTCATTGTGTGATGATTTTATTAAAAAAAGATCGAAGTCGTGGTATTTATTTCATCTAAAATTAGGCCTCTCTACCCATAGCTGTGATGAATTACTAAAATTTGAAAAAGGATACAATAAACATTCATGATAATTTGGAGAATAACAAATGTTGGTGTTGTCTTAAGGGGTAATAATAGCCTTTATATCACACCGTTTGCGCGAAGTTTCGATGCTTATCCGAGTGTATACCTTGATTTTTTCGCCAACGAGGAACGGTTGCAAACACGCCACGTGTACCATCCTTCGTCCGTGAGTGGGTCACCGTCATCAGGGTTCTTCCCTCATATTTCTGCCTTTGCATCCCAACGAGTTTCGCATAACCAAAATCTGCAGACCTATTAACCGAAAAATGGCCTCCAAGGTTCTCGCAGCCGCCGTCCGCCGATCGTTATCCCCCAGAATCCCGACATCCATCCGCTCTCTGTCCACCGCCGCTGCGGCCGTGGCTGAACCATTCGACGAGACAGCCGGAATCTCAATGAAAGGGGTAAAGATCTCAGGAAGACCTCTATACCTTGATATGCAAGCTACCTCCCCTGTCGACCCCAGGGTACTCGACGCTATGCTTCCTTACTTCGTGTCTCGCTACGGAAACCCTCACTCACGCACTCACCTCTACGGCTGGGAATCCGACGAGGCAGTTGAAGTTGCAAGAGCTCAAGTCGCCAATCTTATTAACGCCTCCCCGAAAGAAATCGTCTTCACATCCGGCGCCACCGAGTGCAACAACATCTCCGTGAAGGGTGTGATGCACTTCTACAAAGAGAAGAAGAAACACGTAATTACGACTCAGACGGAGCATAAGTGCGTACTTGATTCTTGCCGTCATTTACAGCAAGAGGGTTTCGAAATCACTTATCTCCCGGTCAAATCTGATGGTTTGGTAGACCTAAATCAGCTCCGATCTTCAATTCGGAGCGACACAGGGCTTGTGTCGGTGATGGCAGTGAATAATGAGATTGGGGTTATTCAACCAATGGAGGAAATTGGCCAGATATGTAAGGAATTCAATATTCCGTTTCATACAGATGCGGCACAGGCGTTGGGGAAGATTCCTATTGATGTGAATAAGTGGAATGTGAGCTTAATGTCGTTGAGTGGGCATAAAGTTTACGGTCCCAAGGGTGTTGGGGCTTTGTATATGAGGCGGAGGCCACGAATTAGGGTTGAGCCACAGATGAATGGCGGTGGGCAGGAGAGGGGCATTAGGAGTGGGACAGTGCCAACACCATTGGTTGTTGGAATGGGTGCTGCTTGCGAGCTTGCAATGAAGGAGATGGAATACGATGAGAAGAGGGTTACTAAACTGAAAGATAGGATGCTCAATGGCATCAGGGATAGACTTGATGGTGTGGTGGTGAATGGAAGCACAGAAAGCCGGTATGCAGGGAATTTGAACTTGTCTTTTGCATATGTTGAAGGAGAGAGCTTGTTGATGGGCTTGAAGGAAGTGGCTGTATCAAGTGGGAGTGCATGTACTAGTGCTAGTTTGGAGCCATCTTATGTTTTGAGAGCTTTGGGTGTTGATGAAGATATGGCCCATACTTCTATTAGGTTTGGAATTGGGAGGTTTACCACTGAGGAAGAGATAGATAAAGCGATCGAATTAACTGTTAACCAGGTTGAGAAGTTGAGAGAAATGAGCCCACTTTATGAAATGGTGAAGGAAGGGATTGACATCAAGAGTATACAATGGTCCCAACACTAATCTAATTGGCACGCTTGGTGGAGTTGCTGTCTTATACCTGCTGTTGTTACAGGGTATACTGTATAACCTTTTTTTATCATTTGTTGATTACTACTTACATGCTTATAGTTCGTTGTTGCCTCTGCTCTTAAAATTTTCAGATAGTTAAATATGAATGCTTGATCCTGGTATGGATGTTAAGATTGTATTCCATATGAAATGTTGGAGGATTACTTCCAATTGTGTTCCTTTTCTTTTGTCATCCAATAACATAATTTTGGTGTTTGACCTCTAGAGACTAGAGGTACTTCCCTATAGTGTGTGGCACGTGATGATACTGTCTGCATATATATTCTGCATGATCTAGTTACGAGAATGATATAGCAATCTTGCACAAGAGACTCCTCTTTTATAGTTATACAAGAATAAATTAGGAGTATAGTAGTTACTCTTCTTGATCAAGAATTTAGGTTTGTTAGTCTAGGAATGTTCGTATCGTTGGGGTTTGGCACGAGGGTTTCATCGTATTGATGTGTGCCTAAAGTAGATTCCAAGAGAAAGTTGTTAGGACGGATGGGGTTTGTATTGACATGGGTTAAGTAGTAATAGAGATTCAAGTCTGTGGAATATAATAATTGAGTTGATGTAGGACTGTGTAATGTCGAAATGATGTTAATTATGTTCTGAAACCATAGGGAATTTCACCTTTTTATCGTTTCTATTAACATTCTTCCCTCTACAAATTTCTTTTTGAAGTATATAATATTTATATACGGCAAAACTTACACACACTCCCCACCTTTTTATGATGCTTGAACCCATGACCTCCAAGGAGATCGGCTTCTATAGGTAGCCCAGGTGTCACTGGGCCATTGACCCTTTAGCAAAGGCCCCTTCTTGTGGGGTTACGTTTTTAGCCAACAAAACTAATCCACACTTTCACCTGATGGACACTGCCTGAGTACCTTTATGTGGAAATGTGGTGCCTCAATTGTGAACAGATAAGTATCAACCAAGCATCTTGTGTAGAGGTTGAATATGATTTATCTTGATTCATTCTTGTCTTCACTATTTTTGTTTATTTTAGTATTTTATTAGGCTTTATGGATTATTAGTTACACCCAACTGGGCTTTTCCAAGTGGTTGACACTATTAACTAGATGTCATGAGTTTGAAACGACCCTTGTCTTAACTAGACACGTCAATGGACGTGCAACAAAAGTCTCACCCCTTTAAGCGAGGGTCTCAAGTGCTGCTAAAACATTTCAGAAAATTTCCAGTGGTCACGCTAGACCATTCTGGTCTTTTGTCAGTCTCAAAGGCTAAACAGTTATCTACCATTTCCTATGCATGCCCGTGTTCAGATGGACATACTATGGTTTCTTTTTCTAGACGAGGAAGTTGAGGGAGCTGGATGCCTATGATTATCGTTTGTAGTATCATCCCAACATGCAGCAATTACGACACTTGAGAAGTAGAATGTGCTTCTGTGTTCCCATCAGGGATTCAAATGTATGGTCGATTCTTTGTGTTGGAATCATTTTTTTTGGTTCTACATTATGCGAGTGGCATTCTGAAGTCCATAAGGAAATGCTGGCTGCTAGTTTTGATGTTTGGTTTTGGCTGTATGTATTTGATGGTGATATTGGGTTTGTTGGTGTCCTTGCAGTGGCCCTTTGAATGGATGATTAAACCTGGAACAACAAACACAAATACATGTATGTCTGATGAAGATCTGTAAGCCATACTGGAATCCCTTTTTCTAAGAGACACAGGAGAGAAATAAGGCTATTACACTCCATTGATTCAATCTCATTTATATTTAAACATTACAAGCAGAGAGAGCTTTTTTAGTTTTGGTGTTGGCTTTAAAGTGTCTATGATTGATGTAGTAGCTGTATATAATGGGTATGTTCACATCTGATCTTAAGGTATTTTTGTTTTAGCTTCTAGCCCTGGAGCCCAATAGGGCTGAACTCTGAAGCACAAATCAATTAACAAGGAAAAAGATTCTCAAGTACAGTACTATTTTAGACTTAAGTCCTGTATGGATTAAGTTGTCCGTACGACTTTAGTATAAGTTGTTATTTAGGGAAATAAACACTCTAAATGCTAGAAATGACTATTCTATCTTCAATCTATATTAAACACCATTTCAAATAACTGTTTGATAAAAATATTGAATGACTGAATCATATTTTAAATAAAAACAAGTTAGATCTAGAAAACGATATAAACAATAATAGGACCAAAAAGGGATCAAACATGCTTTGGTTTATTTGGTTCTTTGAAAACCATTTCTTCATTCCCTTTTCTTATGTAAAGCGTGTAAATGTTTTGCCCAAATAATAATATGACCCTCACATCTGTCACTCGTTTATGTGCTCAAATACTTGTAGCTGAACAATCAAAATCCACGTGAGAGGAATGTAACGTTTCATCAGTCGCTTGCAACTTTGTATTTTTTAACGATTGCTAAATTTGTGCATAAATGCCTCCCTCTTTGAATCCTGTATAGTTTGTTTCTTTGTTCGATGTATCAACCAAACCTTCTTAATAGGTGGGGAAATCTCATTTGTTGATAAACAAAAACAAGAAGAAAAACAGATCGATGAAGACATAACCCATTTGAAGATGAAGATGAAGATGAAGAGGAAGATGTAACCCATTTGGTGAAGATATTAAACATGTCGATGGAGGGAGGAGTAAATAGATCTATGTGGTGCCATCTTTATATCGAGTAAAAAAGAGCAACCAAATCTAGAAAATGGAATAAGTGGGCTAAATAACCAGCTTATTTTATATTATTGTTTTTCTTGATCGAATATGCTATATTTTTAACCATTAAGTCACTTCTGCACAGCTTTGTATAGCTTACCCAATAAGCTACAAGCCTTGTACAATCCATTCAACTCTTTCCAAACAACCCTAAGTCTTATTGAATAGAGTCGCTGATTAAATTGTCTACATGATTTAAGTTAAATTGTTGTTTGGTTGTTATGCCAAATAAACTGTTTGAATGTCATAAATGACTGTTTTAATTTAGTTTATTTTAAACCATCAATAAGATAACGGTTTGATAAAAAAAAAAAAAAAAATGAACGATTTAAGATGATAAAAAATAAAATATTCCCATTACATTAAAATGGAATCAAATTTGGGTTAATTCATATTCTTTTTTAAAAACAATTTAAAATTAGGGATTAAAAACAAACTTGACAAATAATTTAGGAAAGTCGTTGCATAATTGCAAACCAATTTTAGGGTTAATTATTTCTTTGTATGTACATGCAATAACTTTTAATAACCTTCATCTCCCTTCCCTATCGCCTAATAGAATCAAGTTAACCGATTGTTGACGAATATGTTGTTTTTGTCTCTTATTTCGATTAATTTGTTTCTTTCTTCCTCCCTTTAAACCTATCAAACTCCTCCTCTCTCGTTCTCATTCATCCACTAGGTAGTTTTTTCCCCCAAGATCTATGAATGGGTTTTTTTTTCTCAACTAGGTCAACAAGATCGCTTGGCTATGGGAACAAGGAGAATGAAAACAGTTTTTTTTCTCCAGATCTATGTTCTTTTTGGCAAGTGAAGCGCTTACTTGAAAGAGCAAGGATTAGAAAAAAAAATGGCTAAATGGATAAGACAATCCTTTCTAGGTCGATTAAATAAGCAACTTTCTGATCCATTAAGCCATTTCCTAACTACCATGTATGACGTACTGAATATGTGCAATTCATTAAGCCGTCACCGAACAATCTTTAGGTTGAAATAGTACCACCATCAAGATTAGGATATGTAGGGACTCCCGTATGGTTGCTATGGAGTTCAGACATGAGTATGAGTCGGTCAACAATGTACTGTCATGAGAATACTCCATGGGATGTCATATAAATACCATAAGTGGTTTTTTTATATCGTCATGGTATGATGATTCACTTAATTATCACAGTTAAATCATATAAATAAAACAGATGTAATGACATCGTAGAAGTATGGTTACGACTATGTTTGTAAGATCGATTTCTAGCCTTAGACATGTGTCAGCAAGTTAGCTGCTTGCGTAGTTGAAAACAAAATAGAACCTCTTTTTTGACTAACTTGATAAACATGAAGTCCAAAAACTCAAACTGATAATTTTAATATCATGTGATAAATAAAATAATCATCGAGTTTAATGATATTTATTTTTATTAAGCATATTTTATTTTTGAAATCTTAGAAATGTAGATTTAAATTGCTTGATAATTTTAATATGAATACATTCATTTCGAATAAAATCCTTCTGGAACCAACAAATCTAACGAAAATTGAATAAAAATGATTTGGCTAAGATGGCAAGAAAAGTCTTTTTAAGTACAAATTTTAAAATAATCACAACAAACAATATTAAATGGATGAAACTGGTTTCTACCAAGATTTTGCGTCAAACGGTTAAGAGTTATTAAATGGCGGGAAGAAATAGTTGCATTGACAAGAAATCGCTAATATTATTAATTTCAGAGTTAACTACATGTTTTATCCTTGTGGTTTATTGTTTTTAACAGTTTTTGTTCCCTTTTTGAAAATTCATCATAACGTATCCTTGCGATTGCGTTTTTTAACGACTTATATCTTCGTGATTGCAATTTGTTTAACGAGTTAGATCCCGGTTGTTGTAGTTGTTTAATAAGTAATGTTCTTAGATAAATAACCACCTGAGTTGAATGTTTGCAATCAATGCTCTAATAACCCGAGCTTGTGAGCTTATTGCTTCCAATTGGTAATTCTACTAGCTCGTTAATGCTGATCACACCTGTGAACTTAAGAGCTTGTTCAAGTTCTCATTTGGTAAAATTTGATTAAAGAACATGTTTTAATCAATGTATATCTAAGGAAAAATCGAGGTTGTCAGAGTTTTGGGGTTGTTTTACCATTTTGCATAATATAAAGATTTAAACTAAAATATAATAAATTTATATTTATAAAGATTTAAACTAAAATATAATAAATTTATAAAGATTTAAACTAAAATATAATAAATTTATAAAGCCAAAAACATTTATCATCTTTACCATTAAAGTCTTATGTTAATATTTCAGTTTTAAAAACTATATAGTGACATCCAACAAAACAATATCGTGACACTTTTCAGAAACATAATATTTTTCTCTTACGACAGAATCATGAAATAGTAGCTCATGTTAACTGTATCGTTATATGTAGATCCGTCCCAGTTTATTAGTGCAAACACTTAAATGAATCTGTTTCATTGAACCACAACAAATTTGATCCAAAAAAACATAAATTAACGACAAATAAAAGTTTTAAGGGTATGAACACGATTAATAAAGCTATAAAAAATTCAACAAAATGCTTTTTGAATATTTAATGTATCATTTATTAGTTTCAGAAAATAAAGACCAGAAAAAAAATGCATCCCCGACATAGAATACCAAATTCACCAATATTTTTAAACACATTTGACCATTCGTCATTTTAGCTTACGATTTGCATTTTTGAATTTCGAAAAAGATTTTTTAATTTGTGTTACTGACATAAAATAAAGAAAAAAAATATAAATTGTTATGTATTTGAACAGAAAAAAGTCACTTTTATAATTGAACCTTTATTTAATTTACAACAGTTTATAATTGGTAGACAAATATATAATTCTACAAAAAAAATTAAAAGTTTTTTTTTTACCCTCCACAAAAAAATTATAGACTAAACCACAAGGGTAGTGCCTGATTGGTTTAAGCTTGTTTCAAAGGTCAAAAGTACCGGGAGGTCTCAGGTTCAAATCCAAGTAGAAATAAAATTCCTCTTGTGGCCACGGAGATTCAAATGCGATGACTCTGGGCTATCTACGAAGTAGATGGTCGCCCTAGGATTAGTCGTCTCGCATAGCAGGTTGGATATCCAGGTTAATCAAAAAAAATTATAGAATACAAGATCTTTTTTTCCCACTTTATTTCCCTTGTCCATTCATTTTCCTTCATAAAAAAGGTCTCCAAAACATAATTTAAGGTTTGATGGAAGTCTATCTGCGAGTGGACCTGTAAACGAACCGAACTTTAAGTGATCCGTTCGATCGAAAGTTTGTTCATGTTCGTATATTTAATAAACGAACAAACATGAATAAGTTTTTTTTTTGTTCGTTTAGTTAAGCGAACGAACATGAACAAAGTCTCATTAGTTCATTTATGTTCGTGAACGTTCGTTTACTTTTAATCGTTTATGTTTGTTTACTGATGATAATAAATTAAAAATTAAATAATAACATAATTATCTATACTATCTTATAAAACATTTGGCTAAAACTCTTAAAACTCTTAAAAACTTTTAAAATTTCATCCCTATCCGATTTCATTTCATATCTGAATTCGTGTAACTAACTGCAGATAAACACAATCAAATACATGATAAACATCTCATTTTAAATATAAAAAATCTAAAATATAATTAGTATAATCATTAAATTCTAACAGAATACTTAATTATTATCTTTATAAAATTTATAATATTAAACCAAAAATAAAT